GGCACGGGGGTTCTATGGTGTTAAGGGCGAGGTCACCGGCGTCCGTGCCGCCGGGTTTCTGGTGAAGGGAGATGGGGGCGGCTAGGGTTTGATGGGAAGGGTCTGTGGAGACGAAGGCTGGGGTATTGGATAGGGGCAGGGTATGTTAAGGGCTTATATATGGAATGGGTGGGTTGATCTCAACCGTTAGATAAATCTAGATCTACGGTCTGGATCTGAGGGCTTAAGTGGAACGGTGTCGTTTCGAGGGTAAAGGGTTTGGGTTGGTCCGGGTGGAAACGGGTCGGGGCCATTAGTGGGTTATGGGAAGGTGATCTTGGCCGTTGATCAATCTGAGATCAACGGCCCAGATCAGTTTGGACCAAAACGGCGTCGTTTGGACACCCTGGCTATCAGCTGGTGTGGACCGGGCAGGTCTGGTTTGGACGTTGTTTGTTTTGGGCCAATTTTAATAAATTGGCCCAATCCGGAAGAAGAAAAGAATTTTTTTTTATTATTTTAAAAACAAAACTAAGCAAAAATCAAATTAAAATTAAATACACACTCAATACAATTATTTGCACACACACTAAAATATTTCAAAACAGGTAAAACCAAACAAAATAAAATCACGGACGAAGATGCCTATTTATGATTTTCTATTTAACGACTGGATTACGGTTCGAATTATGCATGACACACACATTTTTTGTGTTTTGTTTTAATAAAGTAAAAATGGGCAAAAATCGTAAATAACCAACAAAGTGCCATGTAAAAATCCAAAATTTGTACAGCAGGGCCAATTATTATTATTTTTATTTCTTTCGGAGCGATTGTCGTGCGAAACAAAAATCACGTGCTCACAAAGGTCACACTATTTCTCAAACTTTTGATTATAAAATACCTATTTTACCCTCTAATTTATCAACTTTTGTCTTATTTTTATTTTCTTTTAACTTTTTAATATTACAATTTCTTTCTTTTTAATTTATATTATGGACTTACCTATAGAATAAATAAATTTATTTATAAATTAAAAAATAGTATTTAAGCATATAAATGATAGAATAATAAAATATTGAACATAGTTTAAAACAAATTAATTAGAACAATTTGTTTGTAATAATAGTATTGATATTAACAACAAAACTCAAAAATTTATTTACACAGTTAAAATGAAAAAAATATTTAAAATATATATTCCGTGCACGTAATATAAAAATAATTATTTAAATAATAATAAAAAATAAAAATAAATAATAATATACATCATGTATTCTTGAAAATTATGCTCAATTATACTATTATTCCGGCATTATATATGCTACAAAACTAAATTTTAATTTTTTTATTTTATAAATAATATTTATTTGTTCTAAGGTAAGTCCATAAATATAGATTAAAGTTAGAAAAATCATAATAATAAAAAAGTAAAAAAGAAGATAAAAGTTGATAATTACGAGAAAAAAATAGGTATTTCACAATCAAAAGTTTGAGAAATCTGGTTGAGTGACCTTCTGAGTGCTATATATAGGCATAGTTAAGTGATTTTTCTGTTACAAACAAAAAAAAAGATGACTTTATTTTAGATAATTTCGGATAATGGAGTGATCATTTAAATAATGGTATAAGCTAATCAAAGATAGTACTGATACAGTAAGTTCTCCATTAATATTGGAGTTAAACAATTCCTATTTTATGTGTCAAAATAACGTTGTTTCCATCCAATTTATAAGTTTGAGCGACAAGTGGAAGATGTTTTTTGTACCAAGAAAAAACAAGTGCAAGTGGATTTTCACATTCATGGTCCATTCCTGGCCTATTAGCTATGTAAATTGCTATTGAGGAATTGATTCGTGGATGTATACATTATTTTTCTTATAGTGTTATTTTTATTCACCATAGATATCCTTATATTTCAATCAATCTAATCTAGCAAAAATAATATCGAAGCATGCAATAAACGGTTACATTATATTATAAATTACAAACTATAAATTATGTGAATATGGCAAGACAATGTATTGTAATTATACCCATTGGACAAAATCTAAGAGGACTTACCAATAATTTTTATGGTAACAATTTCTCAAAATTAATAATCCCAACCACCCAGATTTCTTTAAAATATCTTAAAGATTTCTAAATAGGTAAGAAATTTAACTATACTTTATTTTGGTAAATAAGCTATGTAATTATACACTAAAACATAGAGAGTAATTTTTATGAAGTCTAGAGAGTTAGTAGGAGATCACTTTGGTTTAATTGGTGATATTTCACTTAAGATTTGAATGAACAGTTTAGTATGCCTTTTTCACGATTTGAGTGAACCGGTTAATGTGCCTCATAAACANTATATATATATATATATGTATAAGATTCTAATATTAGAAATATTATATTTTTTTACACTAACAACATATATAGAAGGTCAACCTTTTTTTACATGCATAGCCTGTGGCATTAGCACATGACCACATGAAACTGGTGAAAAGCCAAAAGTGTAAAGCTAGCTGTATTTTTTGGTAAGCCAAGTTTGGTTAAGGTTATGGGAATTCCCAAGGAAATTGCCCTCAAAGTTGGGAATCTCACACTAGACCCAACCACCCTCCCTCCCCCAAGCCCCACAATCCACCCCCTTAGTTCTCTTTGGGGGTGGGGGTAGGGGATGCTAACTCCCTTATAAATTTCCCATTTTCTCTAAAGCATAAACCCAACAAATCCATAATTATTCTCACTCTATACTCTCTGTCCTTTATCTTTATCTCTTGCAGACTCCCATAATGCCTGCTCAAGTGATGCCTGAGAAACCTTTTACTGAAGTTCATGCCATAGGGAAGGAAATTGGTTCTGCAAATTTTATCAAAAGGTAATATAAATTCTATTCCTCTCTTTCATTTTAGATGACGATCTTTCAAAATAATGACACATTTTTATTCTTTTAACTTTAAATTCACACTTTACTTTTAATAATATGGTCATATTATAACAAAAAAAAAATATTGTTATAAGATGTTTAAAACTTATTTTAATATGTGTCAGACACTTTTTCTTTATCATAGCTAGCCTTATAAAATGAAACGAACAGAGTAGTTATCTTTCCTCACCATTCAAGAAGTTCATATGTTCATGCATGTTTCTGCATGAAAAAGCTGTAGAGATCTTATAAAATATTATTGACCTCTTAATTCGAAAAAGAAGAAAGAAAAAGAGGAGCTAAAAGGAAAAAAGAAGAATAAACCCTTTTTCGCCGACGATATTCTTTCTCCACACTTTATTGTCTCCAACTCTCACGAAACAGGTAGCTTTTCCAAGAAAATATAAAGCGCGTTCAAACAGCCACCATTGATTTTAGAAAAATAATTGAGATACTACTGAAATCAAATATACTCATTCTTTCTTTTGTTTACTTGTCTAAATTCATTATTCTCTTTTTCTTTTGTATACTACTTTCTTGCTTAATTCCACTCTGTTTCGTTATACAAATGACCTTTTTTTCCTTTTCTGTCCTTAAAAGAACGATACCTTCTTGTATTTAAAAACTCCTTATCTTCAACTTTCAATTTTATCCTTAATGACATGTTCTTATAAACCATAAAAATATCATAAATGTCTAAAATTGCAAGTTCTATTGGTACATAGCTTATGGTATGTGACAAAGTCCTTTTTTAAGTTCGTGTTGAGTCAAATATCGCTATATATCGCTGTATAAAATGAAACTAAGGAAATATAATTTTGACTTTCTTCTTGTTGATCATAGAATTATTTGTAACTAAGGATTAATTTAATCTCCTTTCTGTTGTACAGGCTAGAAGGAAAGATTGCAATTGTAACAGGTGGAGCAAGAGGAATTGGAGAGGCAACAGTGAGACTATTTGCCAGACATGGAGCCAAAGTTGTAATAGCCGACATAGAGGACAACATTGGCAATGCTCTAGCCAATTCTTTGTCACCTTCAGCCACTTATGTTCATTGTGATGTTACATCTGAGGAAGATATAAAAAACTTAATTGATTCAACAATTTTCAAGTATGGACATCTCGATATTATGTTCAACAATGCTGGAATTTTGGGAAACCAAAAAAAGCACAAGAAGAGCATAGTCAATTTCGATCCTAATGAATTCGATAAAATTATGTCTGTGAACGTACGAGGAGCTGCTCTGGGAATGAAGCACGCGGCTAGGGTTATGATTCCACGAGGCTATGGTTGCATAATTTCAACTTCTAGTGTTGCTGGAGTTATGGGAGGGCTAGGACCACATGCATATACAGCTTCAAAACATGCAATTATTGGGCTAACAAAGAATGCTGCTTGTGAATTAGGGTGTCATGGGATTAGGGTTAATTGTATTTCACCCTTTGGCGTCGCGACATCAATGTTGATTAATGCATGGAACCATTGCGATGAAGATGAAGGAGAAGAAAATGGGGTGAAACTTGGGGTGCCTTGTGAAGAAGAAGTGGAGAAAATGGAGGAATTTGTGAGAAATTTGGCAAATTTGAAAGGCACAAATTTAAGGGCTAAGGATATTGCTGAGGCTGCACTTTATTTGGCAAGTGATGAATCCAAATATGTAAGTGGTCATAATCTTGTTGTGGATGGTGGGATTACTACCTCAAGAAATTGCATTGGCTTGTAGTGAGAAAAAAAAAACGTTTTTTTTTTGGTTATATAAAGAGTTATCTCGTGAATGAACGAATGTGGTGTTTGGATTTGGCTGAGAAAGAATTGGTTCTAGATTAGTGTTTAGGAAAAAACAATTGTTTGTATTTGGATTTGACTTTGGAAGAAGTGGTTTTGGAACATAATTTATTTGGATTTGGTTATTTTCCAAAGTCTTTAAGATTTAATTTTGGTTCAATTTTGTTGAAAGCTATCACCGAAGGAGTAAATATACATTTATAGCAAAGGCTTCCATATGATTAAAATTTCCATAAGGTCCTCAAGCACAACAAAAAGAATTCAAAATTGAAATTTGGGGACTTTAAAAGAAACTGGATAGATCGAAATGTAATTTTCGGAAGTGTTTGTTTTCGCCCTTCGACGAATGATTTCTGGTTTCTGAATCTAATGCCTTAAAGAAAAAACTAAAGAGCTGCCTCTAAATACAAATTTCGCATCTTTTTATTCAAGACAAAAAAGCTACAAATTATAAAATATAATATGGAGAGTCGACTTGGATTGCTGTCACGATCCAAAATTCACTAATTGTGATGATACCATAACTCAACCCGCTAGGTAAGCCAGCTAATAACTATCTAATTCCACTAATATTAATAAGACAATTAAACAAAATGAATTATCTAAATCTTATACATTCCCCAAGGACTAGTAGTACAAATCATGAGCTTCTAAAAATAGAATTTACAAAGCTGATATGAAGTAAATACATCTTCTATTTGAAAAGTACATAAACAAAGTTCTTATAAATCTAAGGCTACCATGAACAAGAGGCAGCTACAACAGGAATGCAGGTACATCTTCAAATCCGGTAACTATCGAGTATAGCAACAATAACAACCAACATCTACATGCAATGTGCAGATGTATAGTATCAGTACAACCGACTCCATGTACTGAGTAAGTAACAAACCTAACCTTAGGTTGAAAGTAGTGACGAGCTGTAACATAGGTCGAGTCCAACACTAATAACCAATATCAGTTCATAATAACGTAGAGCATATAAGAAAGTAACTCAGAGATATAAATGCTCAGCTTTTTCACAGTTTACTGAAAATAGTTCCGCTTTTCAAGAATATCAGTAAAAAACTCAAATCATATGCCGAAATCGTCACTATAAAATATGAGATAGTTGAAAAACGAGAGATATCTCACATTTGCTATCTGGAAAGAAAATGAATCATCTTATTTATTGTGAAAAGGATTTTAGAAAAAGAAATACAGTTTTTCAACTATCTCATATTTCACGATGTTTTCAGTAAAGAATTTGGGTTCTTCACTGATATTCTTGAAAAGCGAAACTATTTTCGAAAAACTATGAGAAAGCTGAACATTTCATCTCTGAGTTACTTCCTTATTTATATGTTCTATATTGTTGGCTTCTCGTGTTGGACCCGACCATGTTCCAGCTCGTCACTGCTTTCAACCTAAGATTAGGTTTGTTACTTATTGAGTACATGGGGTCGGTTGTACTCATACTGTACTTCATGTACATTGCGTGCAGATCCCGGATGCCGATGTTGCTGCGTTCGATGGTTGCTGGATTTGAAGGCGTACCTGTATTGCTGCTGTAGCTGCCTCTTGTTCACGGTAGCCTTAGATTATAAAGACTCATTTTATGTACTTTTCAAACAGAAGATGTATTTACTTCATATCATCTTTGTAAACTCTATTCTTAGAAACTCATGATTTGTACTACCAGTCATTGGGAATTGTATAAGATTCAGTTAACTCCTATGTTTAATTGTTTATCTAATATTGATGGAATTGGATAGTGATTAGTTGGCTTACCTAGAAGGTTGGGTTAGGTACCATTACGACTGGTGAATTTTGGGTCATGACAGCTGGATTCCCCTATTTTTTAGGCAAATTCTACTATTGTATTCATGAATACAGTAGCACGAATACAACGAATACAACAACATAACAACTAAATAATAACTATAGAAGTAATTATGTATATAGTATCTATAGGAAGTTAATAGCCACTAAATAATGCTTTCCGAAAATTCCTTTAATTAAGATCACCTCAAAATCATATGAGACAAACTTGTGCTGATTCCAATAAATTGCCATTATTCCCAACATCTAAAAGATTGGTCTTCTTGAATTCCACAGGTGCAAAATTAAAGTGTGACTAAGAATCCTTGGCTCATTAGATAGTAGGAACATTTTAATGTATTCCATTAACACCAGTCTGCATTCTCGTTATCCCATAATTAGATTAGATATATCTTTTGATATAACGTTCAACAGAATCTCTTGTAACAAATCAAACCCGATCTTTTATTATGTGGTAAACAGTAGTTCGCGCCTTCTTTTTAATTTTGATCAACCCAGATAGATGTAGTAGATCCTTATTTGTCACGATTCAAAATCCCAACTTGTCGTGATGGCGCCTAACACACTTGCTAGGCAAGTTGACAAACACATAACAACTAAATATTTGAATAAAACATGTTTTAATAAACTCAACAATGGAAAATCTCATAAATATCTGATAAAAGTAACTGAAACTCTACTACAACCATTCCAAAACCTGGTGACAACGAGTACACGAACACTTAAGTATCAACATAAACCAAAACTCTAGTACAACTGTCTGAATAACACAACAATACTGAAGAAAATAAAAGAAAAGAGAGTCAAGGTCTGCAGACGCCATAACAACTACCTTGAAGTCTCCAAGCAAGTACTGACAACGATCTAGCAATCACCGCATCCAGATGTACCTGGATATGCACACGAAGTATAGAGTGTAGTATAAGTACAACCGACCTAATGTACTCAATAAGTAACATGGCTAACCTTGGGCTGAAAGTAGTGATGAGCCCAGAAGGATACAATCAGAATCAATATAATGACAACACGGGTAAGCTAATGACAATGACAATAAATAATTCAGTGAAGCTTCCATATTCAGCTCGTTCATGGTACATAATTTAGACATACTTTCAAGTTCACAATTAAATATCAACACTGATAATAACATGTCAAGTATAGCTAGCATGAGGAGTGATACATCTATATGCCTACATGTCAAATATGCATGTCAAGTGTAAGGTATCACAATGATATTCAGAAGTACTCACACTCTCAGAGTACTCAATTTGTCTATCTCAAATGCCCACTCATCACACACAAAATCACTCAGCACTGCACGGGTGCGTGGTATCAATGCCTCTCACCAAAGCACGTGTATATATATCATTGTGCCTGCGCTCATTGCTGGTATGTCAGACTCCGAAAGGGCGGATCCTGCCCAAGCGCTAATATCAAGTTTATAAGGCCTGCTGCGGCGTGTATCCCGATCCGCAATAATAAATAAGTTAATAAGTCCTACTAGTCATGCAACCCGATCCATAATAACACTCACAAAATGGCTCTATGGCCCCACCTCAGTCATCAATCTCGCAAGTCTCAATGGATCACAAATCTCTTACCACTCAGCCCAAATAATAATAACATGTGATGATATAACAATGAATGATAACAGAGACTGAGATATGATATGCAAATGAAGAATCATGCTAGAGTACATAATTGCAGTTACAACATATAACTCAAAACAGCAGAAATAACCTCATTAATTCATAATTAAATAACCATATACCCTAAATATGATTTCTAACATGAATCACAACACAATTACTCTAACATGTAGGAATTACACGGATAAAACAAGACTTGATGTCAGCACAGTATAAGAATTCACCCGAATCAAGATTACCACGGTGCATGCCCACACGCCCATCACCTAGCATGCGCGTCATCCCAACACAAACAATATAACACGTTTTCTAGGGATTTATACCCTCAGTTCCGAGTTTAGAAGTGTTATTTACTACAAAGTGCACACCTCAACGCTCCAACAAACCCTTGCCTCGTGAATCAGCCTCCAAATGGTTCAAATCTAGCCAAAGCAACTTAATTCTATCAATAATAGCTATTGGAAAGAATTCCAAAAGATAAGGTCTTTAATCAACATCAGAAAGTCAACCCAAAACGTCAACCCAGACCCATACCTCATAATCCGATAAAATTTACAAAATCCAAACACTCATTCAATTACGAGTCCAACCATACCAAAATTATCCAATTCCAACCACAAATCGATCTTCAAATTCCAAAATCTTACTCTCCAATACATAATCCAAATATCCCCCAATTTCACCTTAAACACAGATAATCTAGGTGTAATAATCAATAGGTATTCCATATTTATGGACAAACGTGATCAAAAGTCACTTACCTTTTTAATCTAGGTGGAAATTTCTCCAATAATTGCCCTAGTCTGAACTTTAAAATCCCAAAAATGAGAAAATCGACTGAACCCTTCGATTTTAAACACTGTCCAGCGATCTCACTTCCGCGAAAACCATTAAAATCACGACCTTCCACTTCTGCAGCCAAAATCCTGCTTCTACGATCCTTTACGTGCTTCTGCGAGTCCTCTCCTATGGAAACTATCAGCATCTGCGGTTCCTGCCCTTCAAGTCCAAAATCTGCTTCTGCGGAACAATCATCACATAAGCAACTTCGATTCTGCGGAACCTCTGCATGCACCTGCAAAAATCCCTATGAGAGGCCCTATTCCGTACCTGCGGCTAGCCAGCCACACTTGCGTCTTCGCATCTATGGCCAAGCCCACCGCAAATGCAATTACAAATGCAACCAAAATCTTTAGCAATGCTTTAAGTCCAACTCTCGATCCATTAACCATACGTAATTCACCTGAGGCCCCTGAGACCTCAACCAAACATACTGATAAAACCTAAAATACGATACGAACTTAGTCAAGGCCTCAAATCATATCAAACAATATCATAATCACGAATCGCGCCCCAATTCATGCCTTATGAAACTAATGAATTTATAACTTCTAAAACCAATGCCGAACCATATCAAATCAACTCCGATTGATCTCAAATTTTGCACACAAGTCATAAATGACACAACGAACCTATTCCAACTCCTAGAACAAAATTCCGAGCCTGATACAAATAAAGTCAAATATCGGTCAAACTTCTCAGCCTTCCAAACCTTTAACTTTCCAACTTTTGCCAATTCAAGCCAAAAAAAACTATGGACTTCCAAATCAATATCCAGACA